ATCTGATCTACTTAGCCTAAGCCTAAAAGATCTGTGGTGACTCCATCATACAATCCAAGTCGAGATGTAAACCCGAGACCACCCAAAGGACAGTTACGACAGAATCTATGGTATTCAAATTTATGTATCAACTTGTTGATATATGAATTATGGTTCCCATGCAATGAAAATGAATATAGATATTCAATGTCATCCAAATTCAGCAAATCCTTTTGTTTTGTTAATTTCTTTGTTTTTTTAAATCTTCATCTCCACAGTAGGACACCTCCATCCAAAAAGGAAACAAAAGCCTATGTCATAATCCATATGCATCCATTCACGCATTGGATCCTGTAAACACACTTGACTTGGAGAAATTTCCTTTTCCTGCAGAGCTTCACGGGATAGACCGAAAAATTCTAATGCGAGCTTTGAAATTACTAGAACAGAAGGGGAAGTTTGCAATTTTTGAGGGATCTTCAGTTGATGGCGAAGGCATAAAATTCTTCCAATTGGCATTCAGTGGCAAGGAAGACACCTATTGCATATTAATCATCACAACATAAGCTAGGAACCCAACAACCTGTTAGTAACTGATTTCTTTTTAAAAACCAAGCCTATTGTAATATTTACTCAACTTTACTTTGGTCCTGGACTACATTCATCAATGTCCTTTTTGTTTTTCATTTTCTGAACATGTACAGTAAGAATAGACTAGATTATCACCGCATTTGTTCTGAATTAAATATTTATTACTCTTTCACGGTAAAAATCAATTAAAGACGAAAAATGAAAGGGGAAATTTCTTTCCATTAATATCAAACTAGGTAAATCTAAATGGCAAATGCAAATGAAACATATGAAAGCGAATACAAATGTAGGTATCTACATTATTTGCAAATAAATATGGAACATGCAATTGCAAATTGCCAAAAACCTGTACTGATCAAAATAGGACTAGATAGCATCTTCAACCTATTTTCAAATTTTAAATAAATAGGATGACACAGATATGCTTCATTGAGCTGTATCACAGAATCAAGAATTCTAAGTGGATCTTTTTTAGTACACAGAATTAGCAAATCAAGATCCTAAAAGGAATCAAACCCAGTTTTTGCTTGCCTGCCTCTGCTTTGCTCCAAGGGTATTATTTCTCTCTCTTTTTAACCTTATCTTAACTGTTGTGGAGCAAAAATTGATTTCGGTTGAAGCAAATATCATTGTGTAACTTGCTTATGCCTTTTCATTTTTCTTTCAAGGTTTGATACCTATGTTCTTCATTAAAAAAAAGTTCAAAAACTTTGTAAGTCAGTGAATAAAAGTTGACGGTACTTCAACGATGATAGTCAAAATGATACTTGATATACCAGTGCAAGATCATCACCGACACTTCTAGAAATATTTTTTAGGATTAAATAACATATATATATATATATATATATATATATATATATTAATAACAATTTTTTTAGTATCAATGAACACAAGTAAATTTTCCAGGTGAACAATTTCAATAAAATGAATAAATAACATTAAAAAAAATAGATTTATGATGGAGACTTGCATCCACCATTGTGGACCCCACAGAAGTTCTCTTCTACACAGCTGAGCACTAAGATGATGTGGGAGTTATTCCTTATGCTCGAGTAGTTGGATTCATAATGGGAGAATCCTCGAATGTGGAATGAATCCCCAACACGATTTGATATTGTTAGATAATAAAAAAATGTCATTAACATGGGTCCAGAAAGTTATGGGAAAGGTGGAGGCATATTACCTAGTAGAAAATATTGTCTAAACACCCGAAATGACCTGCTAGACCTCAAACCAATTGTTTCCAAACGTCTTTACGCTCGTCCATCGATTGCCCTTATTATATACGACCATAAAGGTGTTTATTGAATGTGTCAATCACGAATTGAGTAGTGCTCTACTGATAAAAAAATTATTATTCGACTCAACATGTTGCTCGTTAAGTTCAATAAAACTTGACTTGACTCGTCCATGTTAAAAAAACTTATTGCTTAACTTGAGTTGTTGCTCATTAAATTCATCAAAATTGTTACCTTATTTTTTTAACTTTATGTAAAAATCATGTAAATTAATAATTTAATATCTTTCTTGTTGTTTATTAAAAAAAATAATAAATCACTAGTAATGATTAATTAGTTGTTTAACATCTTTTTTATTATTTATTAACAAATTAGTAATTACTAATTAGATTTTTTTATTTAATATTATATTTTAAGGCAACTATTAAAAAATATAAAAGCATTAACGAAATGTCACAAACTTATCAATCAAGTTGAACTTTGTTAGACTAAACTCGTGAAGACCTCGAGTCAATCCGAATTAAACTTTGTTAGACTAAACTCGTGAAGACCTCGAGTCAATCCGAATTAAGCATTTATACGATCAGCCCGAAGTAAGTGATCAAATTTTGATCGATGCTCAATTCGCTCAACTCATTAAACACTCACAAGAGGACACCATGTAAACAAATCTGGTTATGTGTGCTATGGACCTATTTACAAAGACCCCATCGGCCCTGGTGCCAAGAAAATTTAATATATTTTAAATGAGATACAAGAACAAACAATGTCTATGATATATCTGGGATTTCCTAATGAAACGTGCTAGAGAAAAACATTGAATGCAAACTTACGATCATTAAAAGTTCTATCGACAAGTTAGATCTAGATGATCAAGCTAGAATCAATCTGTGGGTTGTGGATTTTACAAATTAAGAAATCTATATTTTTCAAGGCCATTAAATACACCAAAGAGATAACTTTAATAAGACTGGACAGAGGCCGCGCGGACGCAGGCCCCCCACCATGGCAAATTATGACGTATGATCTCCAACTTTAGGGAGCACCCCTCCAAAGTGTAATGGAGGTCACTAACCTAGGCCATGAGCCATAATTATCACCCATTGACCCTGTCCAGGTAAGTATGTTGTAAGATAGCTAGTTGCCTCTCATTTATAAGGTCCAGCTCTTGGTCCCTTCTCTTCCTTCTTCGATATGGGTTTAGTGCTTCATCATGATTCTCCACTTCCCTTAAGACTAGTGGTGTTGAAGAATACATGGAACTAGTGAATATATGAGAATTTGATTCCTTGTTTCTTTATCTCAATGATACAACAAAGGCTGCAAATCAGACATGGACTTTCTTTCGAATGATCAAAAACGAAGATATCAGTCTGCAAAGATAAGTCCACAACGGATTTGGAGGGTTTTTGTAACAGAGCGTACGCATTGCTACCAAGTACATATGGAATTCATTCTATTTCATCCATGTTGTTTTCAGTATTCTCTTGCTTTTGGTGTGAGACAATCCAATGACCATGGCAACAACAAAGCATAGCTTGGCTTGAACGTTGATGGTGTGAGGCAATACTTGTATTCTTTATTCTTAAGTTATCTAAAAATATTTTTGAAGATGAAAATACATATATTAATAACAATTTTTTTCGTATGGATGAACACAAATAAATTTCGGGTGAGTACAGTTAATAAAATGAATAAAAAATATAAAAAATATATTTCAAGATAGGCACCTACCTACCCTAAATTATACTTGCATCCGCCACTATGGACCCCACAGAAGTTCTGTTCTGCACAGTTGACACCAAGATGATGTGGCACTCATTCCTCATGCTCGAATAGATGAATTCATAATCCTCCAATGTGGAATCCCCAACACAATATGATATTGTTAGATATAAGAAAATTTTATCGTTAACACGAGTTCTACCCGAGATTAAACAATGTTCTTATGTCTTCCCTTGTATATGCGAAGATATCAGTGTTCCTTGGGTCCTGAAAATTACGGGGAAGGTGGAGGCATATTACCCAAAAGAAAATATTCTCTAAACACCCCCAAATTGGGCTGCTAGACCTTAATCCATGTGAGGCTGCATATGTCATTTGGTTGACAAACGTCTTTTTGTTCGTCCATCGCTTGCACTCATTATATATTATATAGGGGTATTTATTGAGCGAGTCGATCGTGAGTTAAGTAATGCTCAATTCGTATTCATTAAAAAAATTATTGCTGGAATCGACATGTTGCTCGTTAAGTTCAATAAAATTTTACTTGACTCGTACTCGTTAAAAAACTTATTGCTTAACTCGACTTAAGCTCAATAAACTTTTACTTGATTCGTTCTCGTTAAAAAATTTATTGCTCAACTTGACTTATTGTTCGATAAGCTCACCATAATTTTTACCTTGTTTTTTTAATTGTATGTAAAATCTAGTAAATTAATAATTATTGATTAATAATTTAGTATCTTTGTTGTTCTTTATTAGAAAATTAATAAATTAGTAGTAATAATTAATTAGTTGTTTAACATCTTTTTTATTATTTATTAGTAAATTAGTAATTAATAAATAAATATATTTTTATAGAATAATATTTTAAGATACGTATTCAAAAGTTATAAAAAATGTTCGCGAACTTATAAATCGAGTTGGACCTTGTTAGATTTAACTCGTTAAGATCTCGAGTTAGCTCGAATTGAGTGTTGATCGAATTTTGATCGAATCAAAATCGAAAAACTCACGCAAATTGAGTGTTGATCGAATTGAGTTTGAACAACTAATTAACCACTAACTCATTAAAATACCCACAACAAGAGGACCATGTTAACAAACCTGGTTGTGTGCTATGGACCCCTTTACAAAGAAGCCATTGGCCCTGGTGCCAAGTAAATGGAGCCATTGGCCCTGGTGCCAAGTAAATGGAGCCATTGGTCTTGGCGCCAAGTAAATTCCATAAATTTCCAATAAGATTCAAGAACAAAACAAACAATGTCTATGATCTATATGGGATTTCCTGAAGGAAACGTGCTAGAGAAACACATTGAATGCACTCAACTATACTGTGGTTTAAATGAAACCATTTAGTACACTTTGTTCCTAATATGTCTTCAAACTTGGGACGATCATTTAGAGATCCACCCACGAGTTGATCTAGCCTGTGAAATAAACCAAAAAAAAAAATTACGAAGATTGGACGGGGCCGCGCGGACGAAGGCCCCCACTACCACAAATTATGACGTACGCTCTCCCACTTTTGGGAGACCTTAGGTGAGCACTTCTCCTAAGTGCAGTGGAGGTCACTAACCTAAGCCATGGGCCTTGATGTTAACCCCCGTCCAGGTAAGAATGTTGTAAGGTAGCTAGTTGCCTCTCATTTATAGGGTCCATCTCGGGTCCCTTCTCTTCCTTCTTTGATATGGAATTAGTGCTTCATCATGATTCTTCACTTCACTGAAGACTAGAGGTGCTGAAGAATACATGGAACTAGCAAACACATGAGAATTTGATTCCATGTTTCTTTATCTTAATGATACAGCAAAGTCTGTAAATCAGAAATGAATTCTCTTTTGAATGATCATAAACGAAGATATCAGTCTACAAAAATAAGTCCACAATGGAGTTGGAGGGTTTTCCTAACAAAGTGTGCGCATTGCTTCCAAGTACAGATGGAATTCATTCCAGTTCATCCATGTTGTTTTCAATATTCTCTTGCTTTTGGTGTGAGACAATCTGATTACCATAGAAACAACCAAGCATAGCTTGGCTTGAACGTTGATGGTTAGAAATTTTGGAGCATTTGGGAAGTTTTCTTTGGCTTTAAACGTTCATCAAAATTGTACCCTTTCAACCTTTTTGCTTCAAAGATTATATGCTGAAAACCTTAATGTTTTGTACAGAAACTTGAGGAAGAAATGGAGAAGAATTTGATTGCCAAACAAGGCTACTTTTTTCATTATCATTATTGGATTTCATTAAGATTTAATATACAACAGTTCGAAAGGAGTTCATTGGTAAGACAATATGATTGTAGACTCATAATCACAATGCATTCTTAAATGGGCTTCTAAACCCATGATAGTCGGGTCATATCTTGTACAAAACACATATAAAATAGCCCAATAAAATGCTTTAGTGATTCATTTAGTTTTTTTTTTTGTGTTTCTGAATCCAGTATCCTTTATGCACCCTGCATTACCTGTTGCATGGATCATTACATGTAGCATTGCAAAGTCTGATGTGGCTAAATGGACGAAATCCTTGTTCGATCGAGCTTGGAGGATAGAACTTGGATGGGAGATCAACGGTTTCGTGGTCGACAATGCAGTCGTGGAAGTTGATATGGGATAGTTTGCTTTAAATTGCTTTGGTTTGAACTGATTGTATCCCTGACTTGGTCATGTTTTGAATGTCTGATCAGGAGTACATTCTGTTGTCCCATCCTATTCTCCATTTGGCGTGTTTGTATATCTTGGTTGAGGAATGTTGTTAAGAAATGTTCCAATATTGAAGTTCAACTTGATATTTTGAAGCGCCTAGGTGAAATAGTTTACGACATTCGGGGAGGCATAAATACTTCAGTTGCCTTGAAGAACCAATTCAGCATTTTGTTGATAAAACTGCCTTCATGAATTATTTCAAATCCTCTTGGGTGCCTAAGATTTGATCACTTCTCCTTCACTATTACTCATGTAGAAATAAGCAAATGCCGCCAAGGTTTCCATGTCAAGTAGTACTGATGTTATTTATGTCTACTTGACCAGAAATGTGGCTTTTAACACTGAAAGTTTTCAGCTTGCGACCCATGAGGCATCTAGTGCCATAGAAGCCTACCATGTGAAGCTAAAAACAAAATTATTTGACGATTCTCATATTGGAGCGCTTCAAAGAGTCGACTGGTTAGTGCACAAGCTGAAAACGGTGTTGCATTCAACATATTGTCTTGTCCAATATGCGGATGAAAGTGATTCTTTTCAGAATATCAAGGAAGAATACATTGCATATATGTCTTGGCACGCCACTGAGCCCTGCAGGTTCCTGATTCTACTGTTACCTTAGATGGAAATTGCCATCAATTTGCAAAGGCAGGCAAGTATCAAACAGAGTAGCATTACATATGGTAGGAAATTTTTGCAAGTATATCATTAAAGTCAATATGATGTGGGAAAAAGAAAAAGGATACAAACCTTCCATGTCCTCTCGATAGGGAGAGATATTAATGTGTCTTTGGATGAAACGAAGAACCTTCCATGTCCTCTTGATCGTAGAGGTATTGATGGATTGTTGGAAGAAACGAACAAATGACTAGATTATATTAGATGAGTCAGTTGCCTGGACCTACCAGATGCTTGCTCAAATCAAACTTGTTGAACTGAATGGTTCAAATAATATTGGCATTGTGGTCAATAATATGCCATTGAAATATGTTTCTAAGAAGGTAATTATAATTAAACTCTGCCAAACATATTAAACAAGGCCACTGTATTTATCGCAAACCAAACCATTGACCCGTGGATTTTGTTTAAAACTGTAGTAAGTTTTTGAAAGAGCAGAATTGAAAATAGGTAAGAGTGAAAAGAATCACATTGAGTCATTCTTTTTTTTTAATATTTATATATCAATACAAAAGAAGATAGTCAACAACCACTCCCTTAAATTCAACATCTTTCCTGAGTTTTTAGCTTGAAATAAGCTTCACCACAAATCTATTGACTGTAATCATTTTAGTCAACAACAATACACATATGAGTTTCATTACAAAAAAAAAAACTATTTGAAGAAAATAAAACAAAATAAGCATCAAGTGTCCCAACTTGAAGAAAATAAAACAAAATAAGCATCAAGTGTCCCAACAAAAGTGCTATCACTTCTCCTTGACACTGGTGCTGCTGCATATTCCCAGACTTTCTCATAATTTCTCAAATTTCATTCTTGACAGCCCTTTGGTAAATATATCAGCTACTTGATCCTCTGAGCTGCAATGCTTCATTTGAACTTGACCTTTCTTCTCAACTTTTCTAAGGAAGTGATATTTAATGTTAATATGTTTAGTCTTTCCATGAAAGACTGGAATTTTTGCAATGGCAGCAATAGATTTATTAACACACAATAGTTCAATAGCATTCACCTAATCATGCTTCAAATCAAGCAGCAACTTCCTCAACCAAATGCATTGGTTAACGACATGTGCATCAGCTACATATTCTGCTGTGGATTGTGCCACAGCCTCCTACTTCTTGGAACTTCAACTTATCATGCTTGAACCAATAGAGAAACAATAACCAGACTTGCTTCGCATATCATCAGATGAACCTGCCCAGTCACTATCAGTAAATCCAACCAGCTTTATATATGCATTTCTTGCCTATAAAACACCAAAATCTGTTGTTCCCTTTACATATCTCAATACATTTTTGCATCTCTATAATGGACTTTACTCGGACTTTGCATGAACCTGGAAAGTAAGCTTGTTCCATACATAATATCAGATCTGGTAGTAGACAAATATAGCAAGCACCAATAAGACTACTATATTGACCTACATCAATCTTTTTTGCTTGATCATTTTTTACGAAGTGTTTCACCTTGCACAACTATAGTATTCACCAGCTTGCAATTCTCTATTTTATATTTTTAGAACTTCAATTGCATTCCTTTGTTATATGAAAATTTCTTGTTGAAGCTGTAGAATTTTCATACCAAGAAACTATGACATTTTCCCTAAATCATTCATCTCAAAACTTTTTTTCTTCTCCTCCTTGAATTGATGAATCAGCAATTGATTGCTACCAGTAACCAATAAATCATCAACATACAAAGAAACAACAATTATCTTACCCTTTTCTTTTTTCACATAAAGATTGTTTCAATGCTGCTTTTGACAAATCCTAGCCTTGTTAAATACTCGTCTATTATACTGTACCAGACTCTAGGAGCATGTTTTAAACCATACAATGCCTTTTTGAGAAGATACACCTTATCATCACAATCTTTCTCAAAAAATCTTTCAGGTTGTTCAATAAAAATTTTCTCTTGTAGATATTCATTCAAGAAGGCTGATTTTACATCTAGTTGGTTTATTTCCCATGACTTATGAGCAGCCAAAGCAATCGATAATTTGATGGTATCAAATTTAACCACAAGTGTAAACATCTTTGTAAAATCAACACCAAACTTTTGAGAATACCATTTCACTACAAGTTTGGCCTTATGTTTATTGATAGAGCCATCCGAATTTAATTTGGCTCTATAAATCTATTTCACTCCAATCACCTTCTTATTCTTTGGCTTGTACACCAATTCCCAAGTGTTATTCTTGGATATCATCCCCATTTTTTCTTTCATAGCTTATTGCCATTCAACAAATTTTACTACCTCTTGAAAACTCGTAGGTTCCAAAATGGCAACATTGCATCAGTTGAAAATATCATTTAATGTCTTTTTTCTTCTGACTCTAATCTCTTCATCTGAATCAATGTTAACTTCTAAAATAGTTACATCTTTATCATGTGAAAAACTACCATTTCCATTCTGCTTAGAGTGTTCAACCAAGGAATTGTTCCAATTCCAAATAGAATCCTCATCAAACTTCAAATTTCTACTAACAATGATCTTTTGTGTCTTCACATCAAATACTCTATATCCTTTTGATTTGGAACTATATCCCACAAAAACATCAACAACTGCCCTTTCATTCAACTTGTCCTTTTTCACTTCTGGAACTATAACATACACTACCGAAGACTATAGGATGGCCAATTGAAGGTTTAGCATCGTACCAAGCTTCAAAGGGTGTCTTTCTTTCTAAGGCTTTAGTGGAGGAGCTTATTTAATAAATATACAGTAATGTTGACAGCCTCTGCCCAGAAAACCTTTGAAACCTTTTTCTCTAACAGCAAACATCTGGCCATGTTTAAAACATACCTATTTTTCCTCTCTCTAACACTGTTCTGCTATAGCGTGTAGGCAACAGTCAATTGGTGGTGAATTTAGCTTATTGAAGATAGCTTGTAGATTGATGCAATATGTATTCACTGCCATTATCCAACCTTAAAGTCTTGATTTTCTTTTCACATTGATTTTCAGAATTTTCTTTGAAACTTTGAAAAGCAACAAACATTTCACTTTTTTTCTTTAAGAAGAAAACCCAACACGATTTGCTATAATCATCAATGAATATTAAAAAAAATATTTGCTCCAATTTAGTGAAGATGTGCACATTAGACCACATAAATCAGTTCGTACTAGTTGATGCTTTTCTGAAGCTCTCCATGCTAGATTTACAAAACACTTCACACACAATAGTATTTTGACACACATCAAACATATCTTTTAATAAACCTTTGCTAGA